AGGAAGAGTTGGAAGGGGAGACATTGTGAGGTGCAGGGTTGGGATGAGATTGAGAGGTTGATTTTGTTTCTGGAACACATTGAACTTGAAGTAACAATGGGGCAACCTGGTGAGACATCCAACTGCAACTTATGGTTGTGCAGATTGGTAGAAAAAGGGCCAGGCATAGAGTTTTGTAAATAATGTCCAACAAAGTTATTGTGAAGCCAATAGCTATATGACATTACTGAGCAAAGAGGGTAATATAGTAAGATATTTAAATGAGACTCAGCAGTTGAGAAAATCTTACTGAATGAATGAAGTTGAAAAAATTATTCCGGGTAAACAGGATAAAATACATGCAAAAAGACTAAACTTACCCTTTTAAAAATAGAGCTTCTAGTATTATATTGAAAATAAAAGTTTTGTATCATTTTAAAGAAACTTACCTAATACATACAGTATAGAAAAGTTGAGAAGAAAACAAAAAAAAAGTATGGAAATTTTCTACAGTGGGAACATATGAACCGAAAGAAGTTGATCTTAGTGTATGAAGATCAGATGAACTGAAATGTAAAACAAAGGCACTGTCAGGAATAAAAAGGTTACTGAATAATGAGAGAACACTAACTTGCCAGGTGTGAGCTCATGCCTACAATCTCAACACTTTGGGAGGATTGTTAGAGGTCAGGAGTTCAAGACCAGCCTGAGCAACATAGTAAGACCCTGTCTCTACGCAAGATAGAAAAAATTAGCCAGGCATGATGGTGTAGGCCTATAGTTCTAGCTACTCAGGAGGCTGAGGCAGGAGGATCACCAGCGCTTAGGAGTTTGAAGTTACAGTGAGCTATGATAATGCCATAGTACTCCAGCCAGGGTGACAGAGCAAGACCCTGTCTGTTTTAAAAAAAAAGAAAGGAAAAAAAAAGAAATAAAAAGAACTCACTAGGAAATTTGGCTAAAAGTTTCTGAGCCCAATAATATAATCTCATAATATGTAAAGCAACAATTTGACAGAATTTCACAGAGAAATTAATATAATTTCTCTTGGTGGGAGATTTAAAGTTACTTCTCTAAATATATGACACAAAGGGAAAAAGTATTTGTGTATCTAGATATGTTTTGTACACAAATATTGTTGTGTTGTAATTATTGACAGTTTTCAGTCTGATACCGTGCTAGACAGGGGTATAGCCTAGGAGCAGGAGGCTGTACCATATAGCTTAGGTGTGAAGTAGGCTAGACCATCTAGTTTTGTGTAAGTGCACTCTGTGATGTTTGCACGACAGTGAAATCACCTAGCTATTCATTTCTCTGAATGTATTCCTGCCCTTAAACAACTAAATTTGACAATTCCTGTTTATCAAAGGACACCATTAACATAATGAAGAAACAAGCCCTAGACTGAAAGGAGTATGTAAAATATATGAAAATAATAAGGGAAGTGGTGTGTTTTGAAACTTGAAAAGAGTTAGATGTCTATTGACTGAAGACAAGTGCAAGGATTGCCCAGCATGATTGAAGGCTTAAATGAATTAGGATGAATGAGTCCATTCTGGAAGTGACACAGTGAAGCATGAGGCACACAGAAGGGAAGAGTGGAAAGGTGAGCGAACTCAGATGAGGGAAGAGTGAAAATAGACAGTGTGGATTATCAATAAGGCACAGAGGAAAAAACCTGCAATTTCAAACATTTTTCCACATAGATTACCTGAACCATTTGATCTCAGGCTAGTGAATTGCAGAGAGCCTTGGCATCCAAATTCAGGTTCAGTACAAATGAGGTGGTGGGAGCAGGGGAGATAGGGAAGTTGTTCGTGGAGCAGGGAGTGGATTTAGCTTTGGAGTTTTGAGCAGCATCACTTTGAGTGGAGACATGACTCCCAAGCATGACTGGTAAGTGATGAGATGAACAGCACCGGACCATAGCAGGTCCAGCAGCCGACAGGAGGGGATAGTGAACTAGAGGAGTCATCAGTGTGAAAGTGGGAGGTGAATTCAAGCAAGGCTGGTATGGTCATCCACCATGACCTGTTCAGGGATATATATACCATGGGGCTTACAAGACTGAGTTCTGCCCATCCTCCTTTAATACAGGGTATCAAAAAGCAAACTTAATGGCTGGGCACCACAGCTCACACCTGTAACCCTAGCATTCTGGGAGGTGAAGGTGACTGGACTGATTGAGCTCAGAAGTTTGAGACTAGCCTGAGCCAGAGTGACACCCCATCTTTACTAAAAGTAGAAAAACTAGCTAGGTGCAGTGGTAGGTACCTATAATCCCAGTTACTTGGGAGGCTGAGACAAGAGGATCACTTGAGCCAGAAGAGGTTGCTGTGAGCTATGATGATGCCACAGAACTGAACTCCAGGGTGACAGAGTGAGTTTCTGTCTCAACAACAAAAAGCAAACTTAGTGCCCCATTCTGAGGCTGATTGGTTGGCCATGATAATGAAAGGCTTTGGCAGGAGCTCAGAGGCTCCAAAGGTGCCATGAGAGGTAGCAGGAGAGAAGGGGCTGGCACTGCCTTCTGGAAGGAAAAGGTCCTATGGTTTCTATGCACATAATCAGCATCACGATGCGCATGGCTTCCTGGTCCCAATGTTCTTTATGAGGAGGACGAAGTGGAGGGGCATTGGGTCCTGATCCCTTACATTTATCCCCAAATCAATACATTATGGACAGTTTTTTTTTTATCTCTTTCATTATTTTTAAATGTGAAAACATTGATGGAAGCCCATGGGCTGGATTTTAGGGGGACATATCTTCTCAGAAGGTGACAAGTTTTACATAAGCAGAGAAGTGAATGAATTTCTTCAACAACTAATTGAACTGTATAGAAAGTATAGCTATGTCTCTGTATGACGTCCTGAGGGACTCCCTACCTATCACTCCACATGTTCCATGAGACCACACCACCCTGAGGCCCAGGTTTCACAAATTAAATATGCATCAACACTGCAGCTCTTTATTCTGTAAACTAATCAGGTGCTGGGAGGAGAAAGATGTTTGATCAGCCCTAGAATCAAATCCCTTTGTGGAACTTGGCAATAGTGATCCTGGTCTCATAATATTATATAACACATAGTTTCTAAGGATATAGGAGAAAGGATCTGACGGATACAGGATACAGTCCCCTCCAGTATGCAAGGACTTCTTGTTTTGCACACTGTGCAGAGTAGTCTGATGAATGAAAAATGCTTGGACTGCACAGCAAGGCAGCCCCAGCTCTGCCCTTCCTGGCTTTGAGCAACCTCCTTACCTCTCCTAGTCTCCGTTCCCCCCCTGCCCCTGCAAAAGCAGAAAAACAACTCCTACCTCACATCCACTTCATTTGTGGGGTGTCTTGTACTGTCTGTGCACATAACTAGTCCCTCAAAAATGGAAATAATTATAATTATATTGCAATTATAATTTTAAAAAAAGTCTCATTTATTTCTGCCCAGATGTGAAGATAAGATAACGTATTGCTCGTTAAGAACCCATTTCCTAAACCAGGAGCTCAGAATACCTCAAATTTCTTATAATATATAACTTGCATTAGATGCAGTTGACCTTTTCAGTGGGGTCATTATTAAATAACATGGCAGTTAGGCAGAATCCCACAGAACAGTTCCATGAAACACTCAGAAAAGTTCATGCAGCTTCCTTTGGTTTTATGACTTTCAACTGGTTCCTAGAATTTTACTCCTAGCTGCCTTTCTAGGAAATTTGTAGGACTGCTGAAATGTATGGCTCTGGTAAGGTTTCTCCATCAGCATTGGCCTCGGCACTGGAAAATCATCAGTATTCCGAAAAAAAATCCCTTCTGTGGCAAGAGGAAGCTCAGAGTTTCAGCAGCTCCTGGGGTGGAGAAGCACATGAGCTATAACACTATGAGCCAGCCACATCCAAGATGGCAGGATGTCCTGCATGGGTGGCAGAGTCAGAGTTGGGGAAGGCTCCCCTGAGATGACAGCAGTCATGATTGTGTGCCCCAGGTGCTTGCTGGCCTCTTGATATGGCCAGCATGTGTACCCCATCTCTACCCCTTTCATCCCAAACCTGGAAGCTGCTGAACGCCTTCTCAGAGAGGCTGTGTTGGATGATTTCCAGAGTCTTGTCTACTCTTATCAATTCCTCTTTTTCTAAATGTTTTGCCATCCTTGTCAGCGGCTGGGCTCAACTGACCTTTGAGAACAATCTCTCTTGCTGAGACCTGGTGGAAATTTGCCCCAACTGGGTGATTCACTACATTGGCTTCAATAAGACAATTTCTGAATAAAAATACTTCCCACAGAGATTCAACATTTCAGGTTTTAAGTCCTCATGCTTCATTTACTAATCCAGTGAGCCTGAGTTTCCTCATCTGTACAGTGAGGGTAACAATTATACTTCTCAGGACAGTTGCAAAGATCACAGCCGGTAATGTGTATAAAGATTTATCTCCCTGCCGGGCATATCACAATTGCTTGTTAAATGTCAGCTCATGTAAATTTTTGTTCACCTCAACAAAAGATCTCTGATAAGACCACATTTATAAGACATTATGCTGTGATATAAGAAACAATTTGATTTCCAGCAGCAATTGGAGAACGCTTCAGAAACTGCAGACATTTCCATCCATTTCCCACCTGCATAGATTATCAGATTTGCCTGGAACCTGTGTCACTAAAGATGTTCTACACAAAGCACGTCAATGATTCATTACTCATAAGCAAAGGGAAACCCCAAATCTAGGAGGATCAGCTGAAGCATTTTCCAGGAGGAAACTGGTTTTGTCTCCTCAACTCATGTAGTTGAGGCAGTCAGAGCATTTGGATGAGTTCTGAAAAGAAATGATACTAGAAACCTGCTGTGCACACTCCATGAAAGCCAAGGCAGAAAAAGACCTCCTGTCTTAGTTATTTAGGGGAGGAAATTTCCGGAGCCAACAGAGCCCAAGGAGGATTTGAAGGTTGGCCAGAGAGAAAACGGGGCATGATTCAAGAAAATGATTGGGAATGCAAAGAGGGCCCAGTCGCCCATGAGGAGTTACATACCAACTCTTTCTTCTTCATGCACTCCATGAGAATGATGAAGAGATGCTGAGCTTGGGTTCGGGTGTATGTGAAAGTCTTCTGGATTGTCACCAATAGCTGGTCCCTCAAAGATTCATTGATAAGTCTGCAATGAAAGACAGTGTCAACAAACAGGTCAATCAACCCCTGTTCAGGACAGATTTCTGATAAATTTCATAGAACTCAAGAAAGCATTATGAGGATTGACTTCACATGGGAGTTACTTCTTCTCGTATTTTTCTTACAATAGTTATTTCAAATGTGAGAATTTAAAAAAGCAGTGCATGTCCAAATAGATCCATTTTAATGTCTAAACGAATAAAGTTGGAAGGCTGATTTAATTCTTCGTTCTCTCTTTTCCCTTTTTCATGTAGCATATGTCTAATGTTCTCTCTTTCAAGTTGTGTTATCAAAAAATGCCTTCAGTTAACACCTGCATCTTGGTTAAGAATTTGCTGAATTATTTTCCTAAAGGAGATTGAAATTGCCACAGCAATTCTAAAGGCAGAAATAAAAATTATGTCTCATTAATGGATATTTGAACGTCAGTAAGCAGATAGGAGTTACAAGTTCTGACAAGTAAGTTTGGAAACTCAACCCAGACAAAGCACTACAGACCTCATTGCCGAACGTCACTATGATCGCCAGATGGCCAAGGGGAGTGCCTTGAAGGTGATTATAATGATATTCAGCAATGAGGTCTGTAGCACTTTTTCCTAGGATGAGTTCGTGAACTTAATTATCAGACTTTTCACATTTCCTCTAAAATCATTCCACGTAGGTGGTAACCTATTTGGCCTATGATTCAGTTAATCATTTATTTGTCAACCTTTTGCTCTGATTACACCAACAAGAGTCTGATCTGTAACATGGTCTCATATCGGTCACCTTATTAAAAGATAATTTTTATACTACAGAAAAATGAATGAAAGCAGGGGAGATATATCATATCTAATCAATGTTCAGTTATGTCTTAAGTGTGGGTTAATCCCAACTAATTTTTAACTTCTCTCTCACTAGTCTGGCGAGAAAAGAGCTATCTCTACGTGCCATCAAATGGCAGGGAAGGAAAACTCATTGACAACAGGTACTACCCAAAATAAAGAACGTAAAACTATTCTCAAGAATCAGTAGCTAAATTATCAAATTTTGCCTAGTATTTTAAAGTTTACCAATTGCTTTCATCATTGAAGTATCAGCCACTCTTAGATAAAATAGTAAAATAAATTATTTTCTCTTTTAAAGCTTACAGGAACCCTAGAGGCAAGAGATTTGTCCTATTTCACAGGCAGGACATCTTAGCCAGAAAGAGCCAAATGCTTAAGGCCAGACAGCAAATAAGTGGCAGAGCCAGAACCAGAGCCCAGTTCTTCTGACTCCTTGTCCAGTGCTCTTTCCACTATACTGTGCTGCTGCTTTTTACACCAGATGCATTATACCACTGCCTCTATCACCACGGTTACTTGAGCAAGCAGTTGTGAAGCTTCCATCAACATGAAAGCAAGACAAATCGTATTGCTTAAAAAAAGGCAAGATGTAAGGCTCAAGATTGTCTTCCTATCCCTGGTCTCCTATGCCCTAGGTTGTGTGAGGTTCACTCAAACCCCTTAGATTGGATATTACAGTGGCATTCTCTTTGAGGTTGTAACATTCTCCATGACAGAACAATTCCAAGGATCCTGAAAGGTTCGTTTCAGGGCAGAGGATTGGGTTACTCCTTTCTCTGTCCCACTCTACCAGGGAGATCTATACCAAGAATACATGCATTTTGAAAAAGAAGATGGTCCATATAAGGTTGGAAAACAAAATACCAGGTCTTCTTTCAAGTTTAAGTTACTCTGAATGACTTTGTGGCTTTAACTGTGGACCAGCCTGAAACTGTTCATTCACTGAAAAAATGCATAGTGAATGTCTACTTACTGCCAGACATTGGGTGGTGCCAGGGACCTAGGGGATAGATGAGATATATATACTTCCAGCCTTCCATGAGCCATCCTCAGTGGAATGGAAAGTCACAAACCAGCAATTCAACTGTGGTGGTCAGTGGAAAAGAAGCAGAGAAGCTTGTGACAGATGAACCTAATCTAATCTAGGGGTTCAGGGAAGACTCCTCTGAGGAAGTTTTATCTGAGACTTGAATGAATGAGCATTAATGGGCTGGGTGTGGGGTGGGGCCAGGTAAGAGCATTTCAGCAGACAAAACAGCGCGGGCAGGCCTACTGTGGAGAAAATAAAAGGTCAGTGTGGCGGGAGCATAGAAAGCAAACTGAAGACTGGAACAAGAAGGGGCTGCACAGGGTGTGAGCAAAGACAAGATCATGGGGGACTATGGAGTCTGTGTCGGAGAATTTGGACCTATCCTCTAGGCAAGGAGAAGCCATGGAAGGATATAAGCAAGAGAGTGACATGATCACATTGGTGGTGCCAGTTAATTGTTTTGAAAGGTCAAGACATGAGCACTAACACCTGGGCATGTGTCTACTTGACGGTGACCCAAAGGGATGGGTCTGGAAGGTCCTGTAGTATAAAGAGGTGAATGTCATGCATGTGTACCAGCAGCAGGGACTCCCTGATTAGCCCCTTGATGGACCCAATCACTCATCTGCTGGAGTTCAATTTGATAACAACTCAAAATTTGTTTTCCATGGCTGACCATCAGTAATGAAATCCCAGTTCCCTGAGGTCATTATCTATTTGAGGGATCTGTCAATCGTATCTAGTCTGTCTCTTTGTAAAAATTGAGGACTGATGTGCAGCTTAGCTGATTGTGGCTGTCAGCAGTTAGGAGAGCTGAAAGACGCTAAGAATCCTATACTGCTGAGCCCAATTTCACAATTGACTAAAGTGTGGCTTTGGCAAAATCATTTGCCATAAGAATCACAGGACCCTAGAAGCAGAAGAATTCTCTAGGTTGGTGTTTTCCAAAGAGTTGGGTGCCTGTCACTAATGGAACAGAGGTGATTTTAGGTGGAATGAAAGTGGTTCGGTTCATCCAAAGCATTTAGTTTACAGTCATTAAATATTAAATAACCACTACTCCTGATTCAGTTCTCTCCTCATCTTTCTGATTGTATCAGGAAGAAAATCCCATTTTGTGGTGCTTCCTCAACATTGGCAGATTTCTGCTTCTAACAAAGAAACAATAGCAGATATTAAGTCTCATGCCTTTGACAGAAGGAGTTTAATAACATTTTAAATGAAATCCCACATCACATTTGGTGTGTTACTATGCACCATGCTCTACAGAGATAATCTCATAAGAATCTGTGAGACAACCGGGTCTTAATTCTATTTTGTGGAAGAGAAATCAGTGGCCCAAGGAGGTGAGATGATTTTGGTCAAATCACATTGTTGGATGAGCTCAATGTCTGAGCTGAGCCTACTGACTTCCTGTCATCCCAGGCTGATGTTTTTCCTATTTTCAGGCATGTCTTTCAATTCCCTGATAATCTGTAGTGGAGATAGAAATTCATGCCCATTTGTTGCAGAAAAAAGCTTTTCCTTTTTGTATATATAAAGAACATCTGAAAGGAATCAGGTTTGGAGAAGATAAAAGGCTTTCTCTGTCTTCTCCTAGTCCTTGGAAAGCCTACTTTCTTGAAATTATTGTTTTTCCCTGCACAACATGGGAGTGATTTAAACATTTTGACTGTGACATTTAATCAACAGAAACACGAGAGATCTGCCCATCTTAGATTTTTTTTTATGGAATATTGACTGGAAATTTCTTGACACCAAAACATGGTCATGTGACATTTGGGTTTTAGAAGCGAGTCTTTAACAAAGTGGATCTATTAATGGAAACCGTTAATTTGTGGCTCCATATGTGCCCGTGTTATTTTTGGTACACCTCAAATTAGAGGGCTTTGTGATAGGGAGCAGTGTCACCACAGTGAGAAGAATCTCCACCATGGCATTTATGTCTTTATTTAAATGCTGTACTTATGATCTGGAGCTTTGTAGATGAGTCACAGAGCAATTTAAAATAGGTCAATGTTTACCCAGTGTGCAGAGTAACCAACAAAGTACCCCACAGTTTGCTATGAGTACTCGGCTCCAATGCTGGCGATCCAACCCACACATACAAATACTTTACTCAGAATGAATTTAATTACCTGCAATATTAGAGTTTTGTTCCTAGATTTAAAAATTTGAACATGTCTTTAGAATTCAGTGGGACGCTAAGAGCCAATCTCAGGTTAATGGCTTTCGAGGACAGGAGCCCTTTCCGTGACCCCCATGATGCTCTCTATTATTTTATTCAGACACAATAAGAGAAAATTTTACTTATAAAAAAAGTTGTTTAATAATACCACAGTTTGGTACTTGAAAGACATCATTTCCTATAGATTATTTAATTCTCTAAAGAAAATAAAATTTTATCATTTGCTTGAAGCCAAAGCAAATTACTAAACATTCTATTAGGGCACATAGTTATATATCTTGCCCTAAGTCACAAAGAATGGCATTTTATATGTATATATATAAAACTTTTTTTTTTTTAATACAAGTTACCACTTTGCCCAGAATGTCATGATTCTGGAGCCACACATAACAGCATGATTCTTCCCAGAGAGGCAGAACAGCATTGTTAATAAAATATGCTGACCACCATAGCCAGGCTGCCTGGATTTAAGATGGCACTGTTGGCTGTGTGATCTTGTTTAAGTTTAGTCTTTATGTTGTATTTTTCATAGCAGTAAAATAGGAATTATAATAGTACTTAGATTATAGTTTTGTGAATGAGTTGTGCATTACATAGGCTTAGAAAAGGGCCTGGGTGGGGTGCGGTGTAATTCTAGCACTCTGGAAGGCTGAGGAAAGAACATCTCTTGAGCTCAGGAGTTCCAGACCAGCCTGAGCAAGAGCAAGACTCTGTCTCTACTAAAAATAGAAAAATTAGCTGGGCATCATAGCGGACAGGTAGTCTCAGCTATTAGAGAGGCTGAGGCAGAAGGATCCCCTGAACTCAGGAGTTTGAGTTTGCTGTGAGCTATGCTGATGCCACAGCACTCTAGTCTGGGCAACAGCAAGATAGACTCTTTCAAAAGAAAGAAAAAAAGGAAAGAAAGAAAAGTGCCTGATACACAGCAAATCCTATGCAAG